GCAAGGCTTTCGGAGGTTTCAGCACTAGGGTTTAGGGTCTAGGGGTTTAGGGCAGGGTTAAATATTCTCGCAGCCTTCGACATCCCCAGCTCCATTTAGGTTTTGAGGAGGATGAGTCTTCCATCAAAACTGCGTGTCTGGACCCTTTTTTGCATCACCAAAGTGGTGCCTTCCAGGCTTCGGCTGTCACCAAGGAGCTTCGGGCCCTTGAAGGAACCCTAAGACAGGTTAGAACTCCCAAAACGCCCCAAAGAAATCCTCCTGATAGATCCCTAAACCCTAAACCCCTAAACCCAAAAACCCCAAACCACAAACCCTAAACCCTAAACCCTAAAGCCCCAAAGAAATCCCCCCCCCTCAAAAACAAAAAAACAAAACGCGGCCGAAGAGGCGGAGCCAAGGCCGCGCCGTCGGAGCCGTGGAGTCCAACCCCCCTGGCGCCATGGGGACCTCAGGGGCTCTAAGAAGGCTCCTTTCTGGGTTAGGGGTTTAGGGTTTTGGGGCTTGAAAGGGGATTTTAGAGGCTTTTAGTGACCTCAGGGGCTCTAGAAAGGCTCGTTTAAGGGATTCTAGAGGCTTTAGAGTTCTAGGGGGGTTTGGGGGGTTTTAGGGTTTTGGGGGCTCTCAGAAGGCTCCTTCAAGGGATTTAAGGGCTTTTGAAGGGCTTTAGGGTTTGGGGCCTTTAGGGGTTTAGGGGTTTGGGGGTTAGGGTGTTTGGTGGGTTTAGGGTTTGAGGCTTTTAGTGGTTTAGGGTTTGGGGGTTTTGGGGGTTTGGGGCTTTAGGGTGTAGGAGTTCCTTTAAAGGGCTCATTTAATGGCTCCTGTAAGGGTTCCTGCAGGGGTTACTAGCTCCGATTCCTCTAAGAAGGGTCGGTTTAGGATTTAGGGTTTAGTGTCGGTTTAGAGCCCTATACCCTAAACTCCTGAACCCTAAACCCGAGTTTGGGAGTTTCGGGGTTTAGGGGCTTTTGGGGTTCATTCGGTTCAGGGGCTTGGGGCTACCGTGGGAACAGTGGCTCCGATTCCTCTACTACGGCTTTTTGGGTTCCGCTAAGGGTTCCTTAAGGGGTACAGCGGTACAGGGTTTTTCGGGTTTAGGGTTTAGGGCTCCTTGAGATTAAGGGTTTGTCAGGTTCTAGAGGATATAGGGTTTCAGGATGTTTCAGGGCTCTCTCAAAGCTTCTGCTACGGGTTCCTTTGAAGTTTTGAGTTCCTTGAAATGGGGTCGGCTTCAGGATGTAGGGTGTAGGGGGTTCAGGGTTTACGGTTCAGGGTTTGGGGGCTTTAGGGCGGGAGCTTCGGGGTGTAAGGGCTTGGGGTTTATGGGCCTCGTGAGTTCGAATTATGGTTTGTTTCTTGTTTTGGGAGGGTGGGGGTTGAGGGTAAAGCCTGTCGTGAAGGAGAATTCATCCGGTACGGACTCCAAACAACATCCAGTTGTCAATCAAGTTTCAGTGGGGATGCTAATAAACGCCCTCAGCCGTAGCAAGGAGTCCACAGCAATACACTGCTTAAGATAGAGTATGGATTCAGAACACGGACACTAAACGACGTAAACAAGGTACTATCGAGATAGAGAGCCCGGTACTTCAGAATTAAATAGCGCTTTGAAGGTTTTTTAAGGCGTTTTAGGGTTTGGGGCGCGTAGGGTTTAGGGTTTAAGGCCTGAGGATATCGTGTTTGGAGCTCTAGTTATACCATGTGAGTACATGGATCCTCTGGGTACAGTTGACGGGTGGACAAAGCAAAAGCCAGAATGGGACCGATGGATGACGAGCTTCCTTCTCAGCCTCTGTAGGAGAAAAACTGCTTGACAAGCTTGGAGGGGGGCTGGAGGCAAGCACTGTTTTGAAATTCAGGCGCTGACTGTGCGATTGTCTGGCAGCTCCATCCAAGACAATGCCCAGATACGAAAATCGTAAACTCTAAACCCTAAACCTTGAACCCTAAACCCTAAACCCCCAAACCCACAAATACCTCGACACTCCGGCCGCAACGCCAGAGTTCGATAGCAGTGGGCCTAAACCACTCCAATAGCAGTTGTGGGGTTCAGGGTTTATGACGGGTTTTAGGGGAGTGTTGGGGTCCAGGGCTTGAGCTAAAGTGTAGGAAACCTTTCTGGGGGTACATAGAACCTGCACAGTTATCTTCCGAACTTCAAGCAATAATACCATGACTTCTTCTGGCACTACTACTGTTGATGATATAAATCCTGCATGACCTTAAGGACCCTTACCTATGGGAATTATGGTAGATTCCTTATAATGGGTAAGGGTTTAGGGTTTAGGGTTTAGGGTTTAAGGGTTTAGGGTTTAGGGGGTAATGCAGGATTTATATCATCAACAGTATGACCCTCGACTCCCTCCCAAATGCCAATACTCTCCCAATCCTGCTTTTCGGCCGGCGCGGTATGTGGGTAAGACAGCGGGCGTCGAGTGTAGTCATTCGAACAGTGTTTTGGTGATGGCGGCTATTCTGGCATATATACTTGTATAGAAATATATACTGTTACTAGCAATATTAAACTGTGCAGACCCGCATCCAATAAACGCGTAACGGTCGAAATGACGAGGCTGTGCTAGCTGCGAAACACCTCGAGAGGGATTGTCACTTGTAGGTGGCAGAAAAGCCCGGCACATACCCAGGTATGACCGTGACAACTCTCGGCATATTGCACTGTCCGCGATGACTCCATCCGAAGCAAACCAACGGGCCTCTCGATTTCACTCAACGTGTGTGCTTGCTGCGACTGCCAGAACTGCTCCCAAATCCCTCGGCACGGTGCATAATCCGGCCCTGTCGCGACCAAAACAGGCCAACTGACCATCCGATCTCACTGCACACGTGTGAAGGCCGCCTGCTGAGACCGCCACAACTGCTCCCAAATCCGCCGGCACGTCACATTGTCCCTGAGCGCTACTTCCAAAGCAGATCAGCTGACCATCCGATCTCACTGCACACGTGTGGTCGTCGCCTGCTGACACTGCTACGACTGCTCCCAAATCAGTCGGCACATCACACTGTCCATTGCTGTTCCGTCCAAAGCAGACCAACCTACCATCTGAAGTCACTGCACACGTGTGAGCCTTTCCTGCCGAGACGGCCGCAACTGCTCCCAAATCCGTCGGCACATCACATTGGCCATCGTCATTCCATCCAAAGCAGACCAACTGACCATCCAATCGCAATGCACACGTGAAGTCGGCGCCTGCTGAGACTGCCACAACTGCTCCCAAATCCGTCGGCACATGGCACTGTTCCTCGTATCCAAAGCAGACCACTCGACCATCTGATGTCAATGCGCACGTGTGGTCGCCGCCTGCTGAGACTGCCACAACTGCTCCCAAAGTCGTCGGCACATCACACTGTCTATAGTAATTCCGTCCAAAGCAGACCAACTGAGCATCTGATGTCAGTGCACAAGTGTGAGCCGTGCCTGCCGAGACTGCCGTAACTGCTTTTAAACCCATCGGCACATCACACTGTCCGTTGCCATTCCATCCAAAGCAGGCCAACTGCCCATCTGATGTCAGCGCACAAGTGTGAGCGTGGCCTGCTGAGACTGCCACGTCTGCTCCCCAAAGCGTCGGCACATTCCGTTGTCTCCAGGCATTCAGTCCTGTCACCACACGCGCGTGCCTATTGCCGAAGGAAGCTTTAGATTTGTAGCCATCCCCGAACGCTCGTTTTCTGTAGGACATCTGCCGGACATGTTCCTTGGAGAAGCCACTTGGAGCTCTCGCTCGCCTGCACCAGGAGCCGAAGCAAAACGAACCTAGACAATCTGCTGAAATCCAGGATGTCCAGCAAAGTATGGCAAGCTCCAGAGGGACTTTGAAAACAGACATTGCCTTAATAACACGAATGATGGGCTTCTTACCTGGCCCTTTCCTTCCGCTTCATCATCAAGACACATTGATCGACAAATCACACCCTCTGCTCGTTTTAAAAGACGATGAGCCAAATCTGACAGCAGGTAGTGTACCAATGAGAGGCGATGAACAAATCATCTAAACGCTAGACCCGAGGCTCTAAACCTTCAACCCTGAACCATGCTCAACCGAATGTGAGTTGCGATAGCGAGGAGGCTAGAAGATGCAAAACCCAAGTTCTCGTCCTAGGCTGTTGGGGCTGCCCGGTATAAGTATAAATATCCCGCTAACTGAGCAAAGCTCGGCTGGCTTGTGATTACGCACACGTACGCAGTCCAATCCCTAACTCCTCCCCACTTTCCGTAAGGGTTCGTGTTCCTCTCTACGTTGTACTTCCCTGATAGGATCAGCAAAGCAATCACAAACCTTACAAGGACAAACCGTTATGAACTCCTGCTTTCAGCTCTGATAGAATCCCCAAAATTCAATAACATGGAGGTGTGCAGTCAAATGTTACTGCACACACCTATATAGTCATGATGAATACGAAAGAGTTTTTCGACTTAAAAGACCTGAGAAAGAACAACAAACCGTTACTGCACACACCTATATAGTCATGATGAATACGAAAGAGTATAACGACTTAAAAGACCTGAGAAAGAACTACAAACCGCCACACAACCCTCTCCGAACCATACTCGTAATCCTACTACAGAAACCAGTAACCCTACTTTCAGCTATCTCGGTACTTCGGACCTTCAAATAATTAGTGAGTAGCGCTAAGATCGCCCGTTCCAACCAAGGCGCCATCGGAAAAGCGGAGGTTCTGCAAACCCAGTCGCGGAACGCCGCCAGACTGTCCGGAGGGAGAACATGCCCCGAAAATGCTACCAACAACCCTGTTTAGGGTGTAGGTTTTCAAACTTTAAACTTTAAACCTCGGAGATTTACGGGCTGGTTTGGGGAATTAGGAAGTACCTTGTTCAACAAGGGCTTCAGGTCAATATGAAGACTTTGCTTGGTGTCAGGGCCCATGTGGGGTTGAAAATTCATTCCATTGATGTGTCCAAAAGCCTGATACAATAGGGTCTTTGGGCCCAAAATCCTTAAGCAAATGAGTCCTTTGAGGGTAAGGGTTGTTGTGAAGGGGACCTTCACCCAAACCTGAATCCACCGATTCCGCATTCTCATCAAGTGTGACCAGGCTTACGATACGTGTAGTTGTAGGAGGAGCCTTAATTCTGCTTTCCGATCACGGTGTTCTACTGCCTACTATCTGCTGCCTCCTACGGAGCTGCTGCTGCTGCTCCCCCTGCTCCCCCTGCTGCTGCTGCTGCTGCTACTACTACTACTACTCCTACTCCTACTCCTACTCCTACTCCTACTCCTACTCCTGCTCCTCCTCCTGCTCCTACTGCTACTGCTACTGCTACTGCTACTGCTACTGCTACTGCTACTGCTACTGCTACTGCTACTACTGATACTACTGCTACTACTACTCTTACTCCTACAGATACTGCTACCCTAGTTCTACTGTTACGAGACTTCGCTGCTCTAATCGAGCTCTTGCCTCAAAACATGCTAGTCAGCAAAGGCTGTGGGCAATGCCTTTCCAGGCCGTTGCTGCTATCATTATCACACTTGTTCATGCGTTGCTGAATGCTCCTGTATCTCCTGTCCTTCAAAACTGCCATGTAGGTTCGTGGTATTCCTGACAAGCCCCCAAACCCTAAACCCTGACCTCATGGTCTGGAACTAAAGGGCTTCGGCCGCACGCCGGTTCAGGGTTTAGGGCGGAGGCTCGCCTGGAGAAACTAAGCACCTCTATTACAACAGCAACACTGTAGCACTACAAGAGTTGGCAGAATTCCATCCTTGTTACAGCTTGGCTTCTCCAGGTTCAACAAGCTTAATCGCCAAGCCCTAACCATGGAGTCTAAAACGCAAGGTTCACAACGCGATGCCCTAAACCCTAAACCCTGTCGACTGCCTCCCACATGTTCACGCCGCTGACCATTCCCACCTCCCCGGGATGAGCCCTAAACCCTAAGCCCTAAAGCATTACATGGGTTTAGGGTTTAGGGTTAGGGACTATAGGGCTTAAAGGCTAAGGATGCAAGAACTTGCCAAAGCTGTCTTTCCAGCTAGCTATCTACACAAACATATGTATGCCTGTACAGAGGCAACACTCTGCATCATCCTCACAATGCTAGAATACAAGAACTGCTAGACGTGCGAAGCGGAGCAGTCATGAACATTATGGGTGGCCATCCACAAGACTGTAAGAAGGGGTGTGCAAGATGAAGGCGGGAAAGTCAGTTCGGTTACACCAGCGACATCCAGACTCTAGACAGTTGCAGCTGCCGCAGGTATGGCTGCTTGGCGTTTGAGTGTGTTTGTGTGTGTGTGTGTCTTTGATCCTGAGGGTATAGAATATAGAAAGTGTTATTGCATGTCCTACTGCTCCGTGGACTGCCCGAATGCTGTGACGTAGCATGTTTGTTCTTTCTTCTGCTGCCTTGACTCGACTAGTCCTGCGGTTGTTGTTCTACTTCCTGTTAAACACTCTCAGGTCGAATGGCTGGCGAGTCCTGCGAAATCCTTGGCGCTCATGCTTGAACCCTAAGCCCTAAACCCCCGGTCCTAAACCCCTAAACCCTAAACCCTAAACCCTGAACCCTAAACCCTGAACCCTGAACCCTGAACCCCAAGCCCTAAACCCCTAAACCCTAAACGCCAAGCCCTAAACCCCTAAACCAACCTGCAAGCCAGGCCAGCACCATGAGCCCCCAGAAGAGCGTTGTTAAAACCCTTAGAACCTTCTCTTCCAACGTGAGCTGTTGAAGCAAGTCATCCGCCGCTTGCTCGTTGATGAGTGCTGCTTCCTGTCTCAGGATTAGGGGATTAGGGTTTCAGGTTTCTCTGGGAGGGGGGAGAGGTGGCTGCACGTGTGAAGTCTGGATAGCAGATACTCGAAAACCGAAGCTCAAACTGCTAACACTATGCCGCGGGGCTCTATAGTGTAAGTAGAGCCAGAAATCCGATTCTACTTATTAAGGCCTCTATACATAAACCCTCATAATGGCCTTTAGGCAACCCTTGACAAGATCGTTTTACTAGGGCCAAGACCACGACATCCTGTAGCCTCGAAGGCCAATTCTTAAACCATAGGGCCGTACTGATTGGAACAGAATAGGGCTGTAGGGCAACATTGCCGCCTGCATAAGTAGACTAGTAACGGCTTTGAGGTATATTCTAGCATACACATAAGGGGGAACGCTACGGGGGGGGTCGGGGGACGGGGCCTGCATGTCAGGTTGCCCCTGAACCACCTATTATTTTTTTAATATAGAGACTTCTCTGGTGCAGATGCTGCCTTGCGGCCGCTGCCCCGAGGGGACTTGGGATCAGCAGGCCCCCAAACACCAAACTCAAAATACAGAACCCAGACCTAGCTCTATACACGCGGCCCAAACCCATACCCGCAATCCCAACAAACACTTTCAAACACTCCTGCACAACTTAGTAGAGGGGTTCCTGGTTAAATTCTGCTACACTTCTCCGAGGAACCATCTTAGTGGGTGTTATTGTTTAAGCCCCTCTCCCTCTCTCTCTCTCTCTGTCTCTCTCTCTATGTATACATATATATATATATACATGTTGTACACATATGTGCATGTGTATATATATATATACACACATTATGAACTGTATATAGGTATGTACGTGTGTATATATAATATAATCATAACAGTAGTACTACTCACCATCGTAAATAATTAATAATAAACATAATACAAAACAAGAACGAATATCAATAGCATCTATAGCTTTATTAAGTCTTCATCTAAGGGACCGAGTACCTTAGCCCCAAAACGGTTAAAGGTTACCTACTCAGCCTCTTTAACCCTAAACCCTAAACCCTACTACTAATAATAATAATAATACACATAATACAAAACAAGAACGAATACCAATAGCATCTATAGCTTTATTTAAGACCTCATGAAGCAGACCCTAAATCCCAAACCCTAATCCCCAAACCCTAAACCCTAAACGCTGTAGCAGACCTCACCTCGTCAGAAGGCCCCCCCGCTGCAGCGAGCTCTGACCCCTCCGGCGAAGACGCCATGATCGCAGGGGCTCTTAACTCAGAGCCTTCCGAAACCCTATGCTTAAATGAATAGTATAGGGGTCTACAAGGAATTCAGGTGGTTTTCGTTCTCCTGGGTTTAGTGGCCTATAAATGCGTCTTGACACTTAAAGGGCCGAAGAGGGCGCACGCGAATAGTCAATGTGATGAAGGCCATATACAGGCGCCTGCTTTCGAGAGTCTTTGCACGCTTCTGAGGCCTCTGGCGTTCGATAGTTACATTTGACGACGAGGAATCAAGTTAGTCAAGCTGCTGTGCAGCGGCGCTCTAGGTTGCCGCTGTCCCAGAGTCCCAATACAGGCTCGCTGTCAAGCAACACTGCTTTAAGGGCTCTAAGCAAGTATGCCATCGACATATGTGATATTAATCTTGAGCCCACGGACGCGGCACCTTGAAACTGCTGAATGAAGCCTTCAGTGCCCAGGCTTTGTATGCGCCTGAGCTTAGGGATTAGGTGTACTCTCTTTCCTGAGTTGAACTCAGAGTCAGCGGATTCAGCCACAAGATTCGAGATGACAAAACACACAGCTGCAATGAACTAGCCAACATATCAGAACAAGGCGTACTCACGCCAATGAGCCATGTCGGTTTCTCTCATTGTGCCTGCCATGGTGACACCCGAATTCCGCCAACAACACGATTTCTCCACAACGGTTCCGGCGTGGAAGTTCTTCAACAAACCCCAAGATAGGGGCCACCATAAGCAGAAAAACAAGGGTTTCGGGTGACTTGGGCTATTGTTGTTGCTCAACAATAATAACTGCTATGGAAGGGACTATGCTAATACTAGTTCTCCCGACCGTGAAGGTATAGTTTAGGCTT